TTTTAAGAAAAATTACTGATTAAAATTCTGTTATGGATATCTTGTCTTGTAGTATCGGTGGCAAATTTATGAATTAAATTCTGATATTTCCATGCAAATTAATACTGTTTCAATTGGCAGCCATCATCAATGTAAGCAGCTTGAATAGATTTATACAGTTTTAAGTATAATGATCCTTAAAAGTAATACTGCTGAACACTTATAATCATGCCCAAAACGTAAGGAAAAGTACACATTTTAAATAATCAACACTGTTATTTCAGTAAGTTAATTTGCATAACAAACTCTAAATGTGTCACACTTATGAATATTGATCTGTTTGCCACAAAAGAATTGTGAACAAAAAAAAAAGATTTAACCAAACTATCTAAAATATACCCATTTGTTAATTTAACGTCAATTGCTTTGAATTGAAGGCAAGGGAGATGTTGCATCTGATCACATTTCTACAGAACTCAGTTAACAACTGGCTTAAATAAGAGTTTGTAAATGCCACTATTTGCAGTCTGAAGTTTTGTTATTTCATGTTAACGCATGAAATGGAAAACATTGTTTGCTCTGTGCATGGAACAAAAATTTGTGAAATATTAATAGACATCTCAATGGGACACAATCAAAACCTGGATCACTTTGGTTAGATGAGAGAGAGAAAAAAATCTTACTGGCTAGTAAGGCAAGTCTGGCATGCCCTATGATTCCTTCTCTTCCTCCTCTTGGCCAGCCCATCCGCTGATCTTTCAGCATTCTCCTTCTCCTCACATCTACTTTGACCTACTATGGTTCAAGTGTGCAAAGTCTTCCAGTCTACCCATTAACCCCTCTCTGAACTTCTTTCCATTTCACTGCCATCAACCCACACTTACCTATTCAACCAGTGCACATCCATCCAACCCTTCCTTCTGCTTACTAACCACTATTATAAAGGGTCCATTCCATCTTCTTTTCCCCAATCTTCCTTGGCTTGCCTGCCATTATCATTTATTAATTCAACCAGCCCACTCATCCTTTGCTCAATCTTGCCAGTTTCTCTAAGTCTGTGTCTGATTGAAGTACTTGCCTTTCCCATGCTATCTCCCACCCCAGAACATGCATATTCCAGATCCATTTTCAGAGTCAAATTGAATAGATTCTGGTATTATCAGCTGATCACACATGGGGACAATTCATGCTAAGCCATGTATTTTTTTAACTACAGTTGTCTAAGCTGGTTTGATTTAAATCACGGTCAATAAACCTGAGTTTAGACTAACCAAACTGTAGTGTGATTTAGCAAGATCTATGAATCCAGTTATGGATTCAGGAGCCAGTCACAAGAGTTTGCAGCTCATAGTGTTACAGTAACTTTTCAGTTCAAAACTGTTCTAAATTCAAAGCAAGCTATTTCAATCACTTTTGAGGTATTTGAAGATCAAATGTTTAAATGGTTTAAATGTAAGTTTTAAGATCGAGTCATTTAAAATGATATATACATCTCAATAGGAATCTAGATACAACTCTCATTTTCCTTTCCCTATTTTTTTGTTTGAACTTGCCTAAAGAATAGGTACATAAATCATGCTAACATGGTTTATGCCATAGAGGCATTGTTTATACATAAAATTAATCCACAATAGGTGATTTGGTATTTTGTTATTTTAAATGCTATTTTATGCTATGTTTTGTTATTATTAAATGCTATGTTATTTTAAAAGCGAGCAAGTCACAAAACAAGTGCAGCTAGTCTCAGTTCACTGAAATCGAATTAATTGTGTTCATGATAAGCCTATCTCCATTTGTCTTTCCTGTATTTCTTACTTCAGCTGTTAGGATCTATTAATTTTAATTAATTAAAAAAACTTTCTGTAAACTGTGTTGTAATGTTAGGCTATGAAGACAGTAATTTGAACTGAAAAATAGGTTACAGATCTGAAAGAGTTTAAGATGGTATAAATTTAGATCATGCTGGCTGGGGAATTCTGGGAATTGTCCACACATCTTAAAATTGCCTAGGTTGAGAAACACTGGCCTAGTTATTCCAATTCAATATCCAATCCAATATAATCTTTTTCCTACATTTGTATTTTGTAGCCCCCTCTTCTGAAGCAAATACTGCAAGCAACAGAATAGCAGAGCATGCCAATTTTTTAGAGCCATATAAAGGCTCTAAAAAATTGGCATGTCCTATTCCATGGCTGAAATCAAGTATTAGTATATTCTTTTAACTCATCACACTTTACTTCAGAGAACACTTTCCTGTTTTTCAGCATGAATTTAGTAAAATCATCAGAATATCCACTAATGGGGGGAATGATGAGAAAGTTCTGTTATAAGAATCTCACACGGCAAGATTCATTTCCTCCAACCTACAGTGGAAGGAAGTCACCTTTCAATCACAATTTCTATGTTAAACGGAATGTTTGAATAGTTCAATTTCCCCTGATTTTTACACTTTTTAAGATATGAGCTTAAAAACTGTCAGGTAACCCACAGAGAAGATTATGATCATGCACTTGGAAAACTAGATTATTTAGATAAACAAGTAATTCAGAAATATAAATGTAACACGAGCTAGTAAATATCATGCTTCAGGTATAATACATTGAACTATAAACATATTCAATACATTCATTTGATAGCCCTAAAGTGGGAAAAGGTCAGACAGTTGGGGGAAAAAACCTTTTACATGAAACCAAACCAGTTAGTCAACAGAAGTGGAGCATGATTTTCAGACAGTCACGTTAATACTAGCAGATGTCCCCCATCATCCCAAAATTTTTATGTATAATTCCCTTGCCCTCAAAAATCTCAAACCCAAATGACTACAAAAGCTATTTGATACCTCTTTACCATTTTGATTTCTATCAAGCAGAATAGTTGAAGTTCATTACTTGCTTTTCCCAAAACCCTCTGAAATGGGAACATGTAGACCAGTAATTAAGCACCAATAGTTTACAAACATGGGATATAAAGAAACTAATTTTAGAAGATAACAATGGGCAACATCAATTTTTTTCCTCTTAAAAGAAACAAGCACTTTTGTTCCCCACAGTGATAGTCACAAAATGACAGAGAACTTTAATCTAAAGCAGTATTTCTCAACTCAGCAACTTTTAAGATATGTGGACTTCAACTCCCAGAATTCCCCAGACAAAAAGCTTCACACATTAAAATTGTTTAGGTTGAGACGCACTGCTTTGGATTAAACTTCCCTCTAACTATATAATGATTATCATTCCAAATTTTCTTTGTGAAGTATGCCAGCCCGCTCCCCTCCAATCAAGCATCAAACAGGATAGTCATAATAGAGTATCAAATCGGACAAAGAACAACAAGGATGAAACTTTATTATTATTCTATTAAACTTGATAGCAACTGCTAACATTTGCATTTTATTAAAACAAGAAATGCACAAATAGGTTGACTATTAAGAGCCTGCCATGTACTGCAGTGGCAGGGGAAAAGAAAGCCATTGTCAGGCAAATCAGTCTCTACTCCTTATTCAAAAAAGCAGTGGAATGGAATTTGAAAGGATACAAATTGAAAGCAGCATTGCTCCGCATACAGATTTATAATTAAATTGCTTGTTATTAATCATAGAATGTGAAGGTGGAAAGGATCTTGGAAATCGTCTAACCCAATTCTCCCCTACCTAGGGAAGGAACCCACTAGTTCAGCATATTTCTTTATAAATCTGTGCCTCTATCTGCCTTTAACATTTACTGGAGAGACAGGCAAATGACTTCTCCAAGCAACCACCTCGGCTATCAAGGAGTGTCAGGGTCACCCAAAAGGAAAGGCAATGAAAAACTCTACTCGCTACAATTGATGCTCCTCTCCATAATTTGCCAGTAGGAAAGCAAAACCTTCCTGTTTCAAGGCCAGATGGTGCCACCGCCACTGCTAATTTGTGGTGGGGATAAGTCACTTTCAACACTGCTTCCTATTCTTCTTTAACCCACCATACAAAAAGAAAGCTTGTTATATACTCCAAATCTCACGAGTTTGATGCTCACTTCAAACTCAAACTCTTTCTGAACTTCACACCTCATTTGCCAAAGTGACCTCGCCCCACACAAGTATCCTACATAGGAAAGGATTCATTGCCTTCTCCAGATATTCAAGATATTTTGCTTCCAACCTGCACTGAGGCTTCTAGCGCTTTCGTTAGACCTTAGGGGATCTTTCCAGCAAGCTCATCCTACAATGATAATCTTAGGGATCAACAAGCCTGAAGGCTTCCTAACCTTTTCTGTGGAAGGTGAGAAACAGAAGGGTAGATGGTGTATATTTCACATTTTCACTATATAGGCAATAAGAAGGGTTCGTTGATAGAGTGGAATTGTTTACACCAGTAAATTCTCCCAACAGTATCCAACTATAAATAAAAGGAACCCTTCTTTGCTCACCAAGCAACCCCTTTTCCACTATCCAAATTGCTCTTTGCCCTTAGATCCTTCAGCCGGATCGCTTTTTCTGCAGGAACAACCGTGCGTCCTTGTCACAGACTCGACTCCAAGCCCCACTTAACTTACCACGCTAAGATTCCCCCTTCTATCCCTTAGATCCACATTACTTCCCGGACCCCCTCCTCCCGCTTGCCTCCTCCCCCTTCCCCCCCTCGTCTCCTCTCGGCCCCTCACGTTGCTCCCCCCTCGCCCTTCACACGCACAATTATATAATTCCCTTTGCTACCACCACCACCAGCAGCCCATAGCCACTTCGGCGCCACGCCCCCTTCCTTGCCCCCTCCCCAACCTCCAAACCCCTCCCTCCCCTAGTCACTCTTCGGGGGCCTGCAGCCCTTCGCAGCCCAAACAGCGCCGTTGCACCCCACCTTTTCCCGAGACCACCTGCACCGCGCCCCCTTCTTTGCATTCCCCCCCCCGCTCCTCCTCCCGCCCAAATCGCACTTCTTCGCCTTCGCCCCGTTTTGCAGACGCTCTGCACGCCTCTGCGCCCCGCCCCTTCCTCGACAGCCCCCCTCCCCCAAATAAGAGAGCAACCCCAGCTTGGAACCCCACCTTCTTTCCCCCTGACAGCTGCCCCGGCGGCTCTCCTGCTGTCGCCTCCGTGGGGCGGGCGGACGCGTTGACAGCAGCCTTCGCCCCGGACCACCGCCGGCCGGCCTGCCTGCCTGCCTGCCTGCTTCTTAGCCGTCTCCCTCAGGCCGGGCCAAGGCCGCTGGGGGCGGCGTGAAAAGGAGGAGGGGGAGGAGGAGGAGGAGGAGCGGCTGGCCGAGGCGTCTGAGCCCAGCTCCTGCAGGGCTGGTGGCACTGAGGCTGGCGCTGCTGCTGGGGCCCCGGCTCCCGCTGTGGGCTCCTGGGCACCCGGGGCCCCCTGGCTGCAACTGTCCCTCTCCGGTGGCTCCTCCGGCTGCTCCTCCTCGGCTCTGGCTGGCTGGCTCGGGTGGGGACGGGGAGGAGCGGGAGGCGGGACCCAGTGGCCGAGTAAGCACCGCCGCGGCGGGGGTGCGGAGAGAGAAAAGGGGAGTGGGAGAAATGGAGGCCGCCGCGATTTTTGCCCCTTCCCCGTCTTAGCCGCGCGCCGCCATCTTGGGGATGGTGGCAGCTGGGGAGAGCTGCGAGCGGTGGCCGGAGGGAGAGCGGGGCGAGAGCCGGAGGGGAGGCCGAAAGAGCGCCGCTGCCGCCCCCTAACCTCTTCCACTCCCCCTCCGCGGAGCGCTCGCCTCCCTAGGTGGCCCTGCTGCGGGCGTTCAGCCGCCGCACCGCGCTTGCAGCAGAGGCGTCGACGGGCAGCGTAGGCAGGGCATGTGTGCGTTTTCCAGACCGCGCTCCAGCCTTCATTCACCAGTCGCCTCCATCTGCCAGCCTGCCCCAGCCCGGTCCCCCCCCCCGTCCAGATGTGGTCTGTTGGGGCTACCGATTTCTCCGCCCATCCCACCCCCGAAACCGTCCCCGAGCAGCAAAGCTGGCTCCAGTCTTGTCTTTTTAGCGAGCGCTTTTGCGTGTAGCAACTTTCCATGTTTATATTGCAAAATAAAATGGCCTCTCCAGTTAAGATTGAACAGAGGAAATGTTTCGCCAAAACTGACGGGGGCGGGGGTATTCCTTCACCTGTCTCATTTCTTCACGAAAAGCTGTTGCTGGTCTTGAAATAGCTGCGGTTGGGGTCCGCGGGAGACCTGGCAGCCTTAAAGAGAAGGAATGCATTGACGGTGCCATTCTTCCAAAAGTGAAAAATAGCAAACCGTGCAAGTAAAACCAAGCCGAATAATGGTGCGTCTGTTTACTTGGAAGTAAATCCCATATGTTAAATGTATGTTGCATTTTACCAGGAGTCTTTGAAAGAATAACAACGACTCGCTGAAGTTAAGGTGGCTTAATTTTTTGCTAAATGTGCAAAGGTTTGGACTATTTATACATGAAGCAGCGGAGCACTCTGGCTGTAACGTAGCCCAACATTACTCGCCAATATGCTTAGTGAAACACAGAAGGTTCATGCTACCACGGGTTTATCTGTGAATGGCTTTATATCTATTATCTGGCTCCAGTTAGCAACAGCTCCCGATGAAATGCCTCAGCCTATTGGGCTTTTTGTAAAGCCATCAAGTTTTGGCTCGTGCAGCAAACCTTTTGGATCTGAGTAGTTGTTCCTGTCTTTTCTTACAAGGTGATTGTATACTGTATCAGTCGAATCGTTACTGCTAGGATTATATGTTCCACTTTACTAAGCCACATAGAAGCTTAGTAGATAAATACATGTCTTCTGCACGTTTATAAAGGGGGTGTATAAAGCTTGAATTCAGCCCTGGAGACCTCCAAAATTTATCAAACTAATGTTGAGTGTGACAAAAAATGCAATTAACATTTTAAAATATTAACTCCCTAACTGGTGAATTATATTAATTTTAAATCAACATGCAATTAGATCAAATTTGTGTCAATTCTGTATATACCTAATAGTTTTTGGAATGCAGCCCCAATGTTTCTGTCCTTTGACCTGTACTCATTGGAGGAAGCCCAGAATTTAGTCCTTACCTTCCCAATGAGGAATATCAGTTCTCTTGAAGGCACTATTTAAATTGGACACAATCCCCCTCTGATAACAAATCATTTCAGAATTTCTGCTTAGAGCAAATGACATTTTCAGGGCCACTTGCATATCCTGTGTTGTGGGAACTTTTTTCTTATCTTTTTGTTCTGCTGTCACCACAGACCACTTTTCTGGTTTAGATAGTCCCTAAAGTAACTTAAATGGCAGGAATATGGGGCGATATGGGGCAGCACAGAAATTTGATTAATTTGTTCAGCTCTGCATCCTAAGCTGCTTGTCTCCTGAGCCTAAAGCTGAGTAAATGGAGTCCAGTTGAATTTGTGCTTGATTGGCACTGTAGTCTCCCCAGAACCTGATTGGTGGTTATTCCTCTGCTATTCCTCTATTGCAAGCCCCCCCCTTTTCTTCTTTTTATTGTACCTTTGTTGCTCCGATGCTACTGAAATCAAAGGACGGGAACAGTCTGTTCCTTTCATTCTAGATTCCACTATAGGTCCGTATGAACATTGTAGCAAAGAAAAAAACTGATGGTTCAGCTTCATAGAAGCACAGTAGCATTCAGTTAAATGTTGTAACTTCATTCCAAGCCTATGTAGCAAGATTGAAGGGAAGAAAGAGAAAGGAAGTATTGTGGGCAGGGGAATAAGTTTCTAAAGGCAATGAAAAACATAAGGCAAAGAAAGCTCATTGGTTTTAATTGGCATTGGTGAATCAACCACAAGTTTATTAAAAATGCAGCTACCAATCACCAGAAACTATAATAACAAGGTAGCCCAAGGTGAAATGGCCATTCAGGACAACAACTAGCCAATAAGGAGGAGGGGGCATATCAGATTGTCTAGCCAATTGGAGCTGGGTTGTCACTAGATTGAAATGAAGCACTGTGGATCATCCATTTAGAAGGATTTAGAATGAAAAAAAGGAAAACACAAATGAGAGAATTTTTGACAGGCTGAAGTAAGTGATTACTTTCTGAACTAGGTGGCCCATAATACTGAAGGGCAAGTAGAAAGTCTATTTTCTTCCTAGAAACTAAGGAACACACTGAGTTTTGCTATATGACAATTAAAAATAAGTTTTAAGCAGATGCTTACTGCTACAAAGTACCAGCATAGCCTGGTATGCATAGCCTGATATTAGCATAGCCTGAAATTAAAATAATTCCTAACCCTATCTTCAAGACAGAGTACCTCGCTACCTCATGCCAGAGCCTCCCTCAGACCTGCCTTTCCACCTTCAAAGTCTTTTCTATCAGTTTGTTTCTATTGTTTAAATATGACCTGGAAAGAGATGCCTGGGTATCTATGAGACCACCTTCTGCCACCGATAACCTCCCACCGGCCAATACGCTCCCACAGAGAGGGTCTCCTCAGGGTGCTGTCGGTCAAACAATGTCGACTGCTGGCCTTCTCTGTGGGGGCACCCGCCCTCTGGAACGAGCTACCCCCAGGGATACAACTGATCCCAGACCTCCGTACTTTCCGCCGGGCCCTGAAGACTTTTCTATTTCAGCAAACCAGGCTGGCTTAAAATTTTTAACTGGTTAATTTTATGGGTAAGGGGTTTTAAATTGGGGAAGCCAAATTGATTTAATTATGTTTTAAAGTATTTTAATTTTCATATTGTATGTATTTTAATCTTGGCTGTTCACCGCCCTGAGTCCTTCAGGAGAAGGGCGGTATAAGAATTTAATAAAATAAAATAAAAATAAGTAATAAATAGTGTTGTCATCCTTTGATTGGCATATCTGACATCTAATCATCTGTGGACCATATTAGGAAAGGAAAATATTAAATTTATTTCCCTTCCTTTGCAATCTTGATAAGTCAACCATCTTGTTGAATGATATTTCTAATAGAGGCCAGAGAAAATTATGCATTTGTTCTGTCCATTGTCATTAAATTAAACAAAATAAATTCTTCAGAAATATTTTCAAAGCAGAAGAGAACTTAGGAGAAACTCTTATGGGTCAAGCTTGGTCTTATTGAGCTTACTTAGTTGTTAGTTACCAAGGGGTGAATCCTGCTTTTAATTCCTCACTCCTTAAGTCTGCATAAAATTTCAAAAGAATACTTTGCAAAGGAGCATCCTTTATAAAGTTAGTATTAGTTAAGGAAAATTGTGATCTTGAGAATTTTTTGGAGAAACCCAACCAAATCATCCATATAATTTATCTTGCCACAAATTGGCAAGAGAATTGCAAAAAAAATTTGTGTCCACCTTAATTTTTTTAGTAGTCTGAAACATTAGTCCCTATTGATGATATTTCTTTCACGTGACATTTGCCACTTAAGCCATCTGTTGGCACAAAAGTGAATCACCCTAGAGGTGACTTACTTGTCCACAATGAATGTTCAAGCCACACTATCATCCGCTTAAATCCTAAAATTGCACCAGTCAATCCACCATAAGATGACTTCATATTTGTACTAGAAGTTCCTGATGGTTAACTTGTGCTCCTCATGAGGCATTTAAATATGTAAAATACTGATATCAACAGAAGTATATAAATTTAATAAGTGATTTTTAAAACCCAAAGATTCCGAGTAACCATTATAACAAAACATACCCTTTCTGAATCAAAGCAATATTAAGCAAAGGGGAAATATTGCATATATATCAAGAGTAATATTATTTATTAAATGTATATGTTGCCCAACTCCCAGTGACACTGGATAGTTTACAAATTGTTAAAAACATTTAAAACAAGGAAACAAAACAAAATGGAACAAAGATGGTAGAAATAACAAACCCAAATGAGAGCAAAGAAACAGAAGCAAAGGCTTTACTGAAACTTGTGAAGGTAACATTAAGTGCAAGACACACTAGTCCATACTATGGAATCTAATAACAACATTGCTATCCTAGACATTTGTAACTATTCATTCCATAGTTATTTGCTTTGATTCTTATCAAGACCCACAAACATCCAGAAAATCAGATGTGTATGTAAATATAGATTTTCAGTGTATTATTTCTGTTTTAAAGATTTCTAGAACTAATAGTACTTAGACTTTGGAGATCACTTGATTTCTTTTAATCTTGTTATCCTGCATTTTTTGCTGTATGCTAGAACTACATTTGGGGTTTTTGCAGCTGCATACTATTGACTTATGTTCAGTTTGTAATTTGGCGAGACACACAGATCCTTTTAAGATTTTCTCCTGTGCACGGCCCTTCCAAGCTCCGTTTTCACTGGCAGAGGATTGCAGGAGGCCATCGCAGCCTCCTAAGCTCTGTTTTCACTGGCAGAGCACTCGGGCCACCACAGCTGTCCCCGACACGAGTGATGTTGAACTGGCCACATCCACCCAGCCCCCAAGGTGAACAACAACTCTGATATGGCCCTCTGAAATTCAGTTTGATACCCCTGCTCTAGGATGTTGAAGGGCCACAAATGTATGCTTGTTCTATAAAACCAGTCTTCATCCTTTTAAAAGTAGCATAGCCCAATGACAATGTTTATCAATTTTTTTTCTACTATATCATATAGATATATCTAAAAATC